GTGTGCATTCTGGTGCTGGGGCAGGTCTGAAGGCTCAGTTTTTGAGTACCCATCTGTAGTTGGGCTGTGCAAGTCTGTTCAGTGCTGGCTTTTACTTTTGGTAGGCCTGGTGTTAGGGTCCTAGCCAACTGTCCCTGGTCTAAGCACAGGACAGTTGGAGTCTTGTGTTTGCGCTTCCCCTTCTTTCGTCTGAGCACAGTATCGCTTTTTGTGCTAGCTGTTTTTGAGTTTGGGGGAAGGGTGATGTGAGTAATGTAAAACTGTCGTTCTACCTTCCTCTGTGTATCTTATTATACTGGTACTGTGATTTCTCACCTGGCTTCCGTAGCTCTCAACAAGTTATTTCTGTGTGTGGATAGTTCAGATTGATGTTTCTGCAAAGTACAGTTGCTGGAAAGTCCTGTGCTGCCGTCTTGCACCACTCTCTTCCAGAGGAAGCCTTTTTTCTAAACTTTGGTGAATCCTCATAGTCCTATAATAAATTTGAACCACCTTTCAATATTTTATCCTTTGTACTTTCAATGGTAGAAACTTTCTCTGTGAGTTCTGTTTTGTGAAGTTTTTCACTCCTGTGGGACATCATCCTTTGCTCACAACCAGTTTTCTTATTTCTGTTGACAGCCTCACCTTGACACAGGTTTTCTGGCTGTACATCTGGAGTCTCTTGATGGCAGCAGTGTCAACATTCCTATGGTCAGCTATCCTATAACTTTTTTTTTTTTTTTTTTTGAGACGGAGTTTTGCTCTTGTTGCCCAGGCTGGAGTGCAGTGGCGCGATCTCGGCTCACCGCAACCTCTGCCTCCTGGGTTCAGGCAGTTCTCCTGCCTCAGCCTCCCGAGTAGCTATCTTTTTCAAAGAGCTGATTAAAATAAGTCTTTGACATATGTAAGATGGGATTTAAGGACTGGATTTGGGAGTGCTTTATTCTTTTTGTTTGAGACAGAGTTTTGTTCTTGTTGTCCAGGCTGGAATGCAATGGCATGATCTTGGCTCATTGCAACCTCCGCCTCCTGGGTTCAAGCGATTCTCCTGCCTCAGCCTCCCAAGTAGGTGGGATTACAGGCATGCGCCACCATGCTCTGCTAATTTTTTTTTTATTAGACACGCGGTTTCTCCACGTTGGTCAGGCTGGTCTTGAACTCCTGACCTCAGATAATCTGTCACTTTGGCCTCCCAAAGTGTTGGGATTATTGGCGTGAGCTACCACACCTTGCTGGGAGTGCTTTATTCTTGTTTATTAAGTCTTAGCTGATTTGAATGAGGGCAGATAGTATTTTCAGTAAGTTGGAACTCAGCAGAAGTTTCAAATCTTAGGAGATAAATCCCTGTGGCCTTGTATAGGTACTTAAATAGAAACAGAAAAAACAGTTTAATAGAACATACATTGTGGATTGCCTAGACTGTAGACCAAGTTCATTTTATAGACGAATGGTGGAAATACAGATTACGAAATGGCTTTTGCAGGATTTTTTTTAGCTAGATTTTGAGTCTAGAGCTGATGTCTTAAAAGTTTTTAATACTGCCCTTGTATCACACTGTATCTTACATATGCATTGGTTGCTTTTATTTCCTGGAAACCCAGTGATGTTATTTTACAGGTAAATGCTGTTGTGGGCTGTGTGCAGTGGCTCACGTCTATAATACCAGCACTTTGGAGGCCAAGGCAGGCAGATCATGAAATCAAGAGTTCAAGACCAGCCTGATCAACATGGTGAAACCCTGTTTCTACTAAAAATACAAAAACTAGCTGGATGTGGTGGTGCATGCCTGTAATCTCAACTATTAAGGAGGCTGAGGCAGGAGAATTGCTTGAACCCACGAGGCAAAGGTTGCAGTGAGCCGAGATCATGCCATTGCACTCCAGCCTGGGTGACAGAGCAAGACTCCATCTCAAAAAAAAAAAAAAAAAGAAAAAGAAAAAGGAAAACCAAAAACAAAACAGATAAATGCCGTAAAGAATCAAGACAAAATACTTGCCGGGCGAGTTGGCTTACGCCTGTAATCCGTGAGGCCGAGGTGGGGCGGACCACTTGAGGTCAGGAGTTTGAGACCAGCCTGGCCAACATGATGAAACCCTATCTTTTAAAAAAAACCCACCCCCCCCAAAAAAAAAACCTAGATAGAGTCTAAAGGTATCAATAGATTATCAAAACTCCATATTCTGTTAAGGTGTGAAGGATTATGTTGAAATGAGTTTCAGAAATTTAGGGAAAGATTTTAGTGGCTAGTATTGTGGCCAAAAGCTACAAAAAAGAGAAAAAGGAAAGAAAAAAAGAGGAAGATTTTAGTGGCTAAATGCTTGTCAGTATTCACATAAATCTTCTTTGTAAGCACATATTTGATGTTGCAGGTAAATACATATATATTAATTGTTCCCTTAGTGATTCTTACAAATCTGTGATTTTTTTTTTTTTGAGATGGAGTCTTGCTGTGTTGCCCAGGCCAGAGTGCGCTGGTGCAGTCGTGGCTCACTGCAACTTCTGCTTCTTTGTTCAAACAGTTATCCTGCCTCAGCCTCCTGAGTAGCTGAATTACAGCCTTGAGCCACCACACCTAGCTAATTTTTTGTATTTTAGTAGAGGAGGGGTCTAGAGCTCCTGATCTCAAGTGATCCACTGCCTGCCTCTGCCTCCCAAAGTGCTGGAATTACAGGTGTGAGTCACTGTGCCTGGCCTGTCTACGATTTTCTATCTGAGGTTTATCTAAGGGAAGGGAGGGAGAAGGAGGTTTTTGGGAGTGTTGTGTTTGATAGAAACTTATCTTGTATAGGAGGTAGAATTTATAACCTGATGAGTTATCCTAAACATCTCAGTATTGCTGCTGTTATTCCTAAGGTGACCTTTTAGAACTTTTCTTTCCTTCCCTCCCTCCCTCCCTTCCTTCCTTCCTTTCCTTTTATTCTTCATTTTACCTACTTTTCCAACTAGGGTACCTCTAGATACGACTATATTATCAGGTAGGAAGAACTTGGTTCTAGGAGTTTTGGGACTGAGAAGACTGGACAACAGCCTTGTAACCTGGGCTTATTCTCTCGAGGGGTTATGAAGTGGTTACCAAAATCTAAAGTTCTATGGAAAAGAGCCAGTTTCCTCTAGTATTTGACCATACTTTTGAGGGATGCTTCATAAGAAAGCTGAATTTCTGGTGGATGGAGTTGTAAATGAATATCGAGTTTGGTTTCAGGGAGCTATTTTTTTCAGAATGGTTTTACTGAGATATAATTCACAAACCGTACAGTTTTCTATTTAAAGTGTACAATTCACTGACTTCTGGCATGTTCACAGCTATATGCAATTGTGGTCATTTTAGAACTTTTTTTTCCCCCCACAGGCGGCCATCATATTCTTAGCGTCATTTTAGAATATTTTTATCACCTCAGAAAGAAACCCTGTAGTTCTCACTGCCCTATAACCCCAAACCTCAGCTCCTGGCTTCTACTGATCTGTCTCAATAGATTTACCCATTCTGTACTTGTATATGTGCAGAGTCATAATTATGTGGCCTTTTGTGACTGGCTTCTTTCACTTAGCATAATGTTTTTTCTTGTTTCTACAAATTGTAAGAAATGGCATTAATAGTATAATGCTTTTAAGGGTCATCCATGTTGTAGCATGTATCAGTACTTAGCTTTTTTTTTTGCTTGAGACAGAGTCTTGCTCTGTTGTCCAGGCTGGAGTGCAGCGGCACAATCTCAGCTCACTCCAGCCTCTGCCTTCCAGGTTCAAGCAATTCCTCTGCCTCAGCCTCATGAGTAGCTGGGACTACAGGCATGTGCTACTATGCCTGGCTAATTTTTTGTATTTTTAGTAGAGATGGGGTTTCACTGTGTTAGCCAGGAGGGTCTTGGTCTCCTGACCTTGTAATCCACTTGACTTGGCCTCCCAAAGTGCTGGGATTACAGGCGTGAGCCACTGCACCTGGCTTACTTACTTATTTTTGAGCTGGAGTCTCACTCTGTCACCCAGTCTGGAGTGCAATGTTGTGATCTTGGCTCACTGCAACCTCTGCCTTCCAGGTTCAAGTAATCCTCCCACCTCAGCCGCCAGAGTAGCTAGGATTACAGGTGTGCTCAAGAGGCCTCTTGAGCAGGAGGATCACTTGTGTCCAGGATTTCGAGGCTGCAATGAGACTGATTGTACCACTGCCTTCTAGCCTGAGCAACAGAGTAAGACCCTCTCTCTAAAACGAACACACACACACACCAGAAAACCATGTTTCTTTCTTTTTTTTGAGAAGGAGTTTTGCTTTTGTTGCCCAAGCTGGAGTGCAATGGCATGATCTTGGCTCACTGCAACCTCTGCCTCCCCACTTCAAGCTATTCTCCTGCCTTAGCCTCCCAAGTAGCTGGAATTACAGGCATGCGCCACCACACCTGCTTATTTTGTATTTTTAGTAAAGACGGGGTTTCTCCATGTTGGTCAGGCTGGTCTTGAACTCCCGACCTCAGGTGATTCACCTGCCTTGGCTTCCCAAAGTGCTGGGATTACAGGCGTGAGCTACCATGCCCGACTGAGAACCATGTTTTATGCAGGATATGGCCAGAAACGAAAATAAATGAATAAAAACATCCTGATGAAGTACTGTGAGTTCTAGTTGATTCTCTGGTTATGATTAATATGTGACAGAAGGACAGGAGTTTGAGCTTCACCTTGCCAGGTGAGGTTTAATCTCACACTAAAAAAAGTTTGATAGCCAGATATCATGCATACTGTAGACAGTTTATTCTTTGGAAGTAGTATGATTATGCCAGAGGTTTTTCAGTTTATGGATTGGAATGTTCTTGAAAAGTAGAGACAGTGCATTGCTTGGTGTACTGCTCTTCATGCCCGTGTCACGTTCTGCCTAAATTATTGGTTGTTTACTAAACAATACTCATGTAAGTGGTTTTGTCCTCAGAGGAAATATTTCTGTTGTTGAGAAGCCTTTAATTTTCTAAAGTTGTCACCTCATAAGCAGTGATTTGGAGAGATAACTGTACCTGTTTATTTTGCCTAATAAGCTTTTCTGACTGGAAGCCAGCTACAGCTTTCTGGACTCACAGGTGAGCAGTTCTGCTTATTTAATAGTCTGTTAGAAGGACTCCCATCTTTTAAAGTGCATGCCATTTCTAATTTTACTTAGGAATTAAAAGTAGAGAGGAACTGGAATATATTAGCTTACTTAACTTTCTTCCACTCCTAGTGTAGTCTAAGGGAAGTCTCCTTGATAGTTCTGCAGTGAACATTCTGAACTACCTTATTGGAGAATGTGGAGTAACGGCTGCATTCCTTGGCTTATCTCAGTGCGATATTTGTAGTGTATCCAGGTGAAACCTTCTGCAGTAACTTACTGCATCACATTGGGATGTATTCACTTACATGGTTGTCTTCCTCGCTAGACAGTAGTGTCCTGAGGAAAGGATTCTCTGTTCAGTATCAGCACCATGTGCTGTCAGTTCACACATATTGAAAGATTAAAAGTAAGCATTTGCCAAATTTACCAAGTGTTTATTGAGTGCCTGTTGTGTCATCATTTTCTGTGGTACAATTTCTGTGTCAGGGATTTAATAATGAGAAAATAAATGGCTCAAGTAAAACCTAGCTTTTCAGGCCTGGCAAGGTGGCTCACTCCTCTAATCTCAGCACACTGGGAGGCCCAGGCGGGTGGATCACTTGAGCCCAGGAGTTCGATACCAGCCTGGGCAGCAAGACAAAACCCTGTCTCTACTAAAAATACAAAAATTAGCTGATTGTGGTGGTACATGCCTGTGGTCCCAGCTACTTGGGGAACTGAGGTGGGAGAATTGCTTAAGCCTGGGAGGTGGAGGTGCAGTGAGCTGAGGTCATGCCACTGCTCTCCAACCTGGGCAACAGAGTGAGACCCTGTCTCAAAAACCAAAAACAAAACAAAAACCTCTGGGCACGGTGGCTCATGCCTGTAATCCCAGCACTTTGGGAGGCTAAGGTGGATGGATCACTTGAAGTCAGGAGTTTAGAGCAACCTGGCCAACATGGTGAAACCCCTGTCTCTACTAAAAATACAAAAATTAACTGGGTGTGGTGGCACATGTCTGTAGTTGCAGCTAATTGGGAGGCTGAAGTGGGAGAATCAGTTGAACCCGGGAAACGGGTTGCATGAGCCGAGATCATGCCATTGCCCTCCAGCCTGGGTGACAGAGCAAGACTATCTCAAAACAAAGCCACAAAAACAAAAATGAGCCAGGTGTGGTGGCAGGTACCTGTACTCCCAGCTACTTGGGAGGCTAAGCCAGGAGAATGGCTTGAACCCAGGAGGCGGAGGTTGCAGTGAGCCGAGATTGTGCCACTTCACTCCAGCCTGGGTGACGGAGCAAGATTTCGTCTCAAAAACAAGACCTCCAAAACATAACTTTTCCTTTTTGTATATTGTAATATTTCACTGTCTTATTTTTAGTTTGCTTTTCTGAAGGGAAACTACTAAAAGATTTTAGTGAATATATATTTATTAAATCTAAAATCATGAAGCTGCTTATTTTCCCCTTACCTAGCTGAGTTAGTATCTAACAAGTAGATTTTTTTTTTTTTTTTTTTTGAGACAGAGTTTTGCTGTTACCCAGGCTGGAGTGCAATGGTGCGATCTTGGCTCACCGCAACCTCTGCCTCCTGGGTTCAGGCAATTCTCCTGCCTCAGCCTCCTGAGTAGCTGGGATTACAGGCACGCGCCACCATGCCCAGCTAATTTTTTTGTATTTTTAGTAGAGATGGGGTTTCACCATGTTGACCAGGATGGTCTCGATCTCTTGACCTCGTAATCCATCCACCTCGGTCTCCCAAAGTGCTGGGATTACAGGCGTGAGCCACCGCGCCCAGCCCACATGTAGATTCTGAATGAACTCTCCATGTAGGTGCTGGTTTTTTTTCAGTGGCAGCAGGCAGGGTGGTGTTGGTTACAACCTAAAGAGTAACAGTAGTATGATTAATATTCTCTTGTGTGTAATATATTCTCCACACCACAGCATTGAGATACTTTGCAAATCCTCTAATCCAGAGGTTTTTCTACTTGTGTTTGAAAATGTAGTATAGATGCTTCAGGTGTATGAAGTTTGACTTGAATTTTGCTTTTATAAGTTACATTTTTAACTACTATATTTCATCAATTCTAAAATACATTTAAATATCCAAAATGGGTATATGTGTTGTAGTTTAATTGGTAAAGTTTTTAAATTTTTTAAAATTATGGCATCATGTAGTTGGTTGTGCCATCTTAGATTTGATGAAAGACAGTACTTAAAAATCTGTTAAGACACCCACATGGAGGTAAATATATATAATAGATTCAAAATACTGTATTCTACAAACATATTGACATGTGTTCTCATTTGTGACCTGAATACTAAGCAGTGTGATCAATTTAAACTTAAGTGTCTTCTATTGAAATATATTTTTAATCTTATACAATTTTTTGAAATATTTTAGAGGCTAAAGTTGAAAATTGCTTTTCTGGTAAACCTTCATTTCAGCAAAATAATATTGCCTTCTGATTTTTTGGTGAATTATGTAAATATTTTTAATATTAAATCTACTTGTATAAATTCACAGTGTATGAATGATGTATGTATTTTAGTTTTAAAGTTCAGAAAAAAATGTAGCTGGGTCCGGGCGTGGTGGCTCACGCCTGTAATCCAAGCACTTTGGAGGCCAAGGTGGGCGGATCACCTGAGGTCGGGCGTTCAAGAGCAGCCTGACCAACATGGCGAAACTCTGACTTTAAAAAAAAAAAACAACAACCCATCTTTACTAAAAATACAAAAATTAGCCAGGTGTGGTGGTGCACACCTGTAATCCCAGCTACTTGGGAGGCTGAGGCACGAGGGCACGAGAATCACTTGAACCTGGGAGGCGGAGACTGCAGTGAGCTGAGAATGCCCCACTGCACTCCAGCTGGGTGACAGAGCAAGACTCTGCCTCAAAAAAAAACCAAAAAGCTGGCTGCAGTGGCTCACGCCTGTAATTCCAGCACTTTTGGAGACCGAGGTGGGTGGATCGTGGCCGAGGTGGTGAGCAGACCAGCAGAGCCAACATAGTGAAATCCTGTCTCTACCAAAAATACAAAAATTAGTTAAGTGTGATGGTGCGTGCCTGTAGTTCCAGCTACTGGGGAGGCTGAGGCAGAAGAATAGCTTGAACCCTGGCGACAGAGGTTGCAGTGAGTAGAATGAGCACCTTGAGTCCTAGCTATTCAGGAGGTTGAGGAGGGAGGATCGCTTGATCCCAGGAAGTTGAGGCTGTATTGAGCTATGATTGCACGTCTGCACTCTGGGCGATAGAGTGAGACCCTGTCTTGTAAAAGAAATAAAAAAGATCAGCTCATGGTGTGTTTTGTCAAAATTGCTCCCACAGTTGGTTAAGGCGCGTTCCTTATGAGATTACGGGCAATGGTGCCGGAAGATAGCCAAGTGAGTGCCATGCAGGCCTCACCAGGTTCCCTGTGGAGGCTGGAAGGATAACGGCCATAGGCTTTGGCTTTGAAACCCAAGTTTCAGCCCTGACTCTCCCACTCATTCTCCATGTTGTTAGATTGAGCCTTATGAAATTGCTATTTCTGTTAAAAAGATGCCTGCATATCAGCAGTTTCATAAGGGTTAACGTAATATATTCCTCAGTTTTCTTACAGTATAATGGTCATGTTAACAAGGTGAGACTTAATGAGAAACTTCTGCCTCTAAAGTTTGTAGCAAATGTCTGTCATGTAGGAAGTGCTCAATAAATACCTTATTTTTAACCAACTCCGTGGGTTTGAGGGGAACTCCCGCAGTGGGGAGGGAACCAGAGAACTACAGTTATAGGTGGAACTTGTAATGAGTTAACAAGATGTACCTACCCTCAGGGACTACAGAATGTGAACACTCTCTTCAGAGAGACTGAGAGCCATGCATCTGAGAGCACTCTGCAGAGGTCAGGCACCCCACACGCTGGGTGTGAATCCCCAGAGATGCCAGTCATCCCACTGCTTATGTGCCCCCAGACACCCTCTTCCTTCTTCCTTAATGCCACAGATACTCTGGGCAGTGGGTAAAAGGGGATGGGGACCTTTGACCCACCTGGATGTTTATGAGAACCAGCTGTGGGGTTAGAAAATAAATAAGGTGGAAAGCGTTTCTTCGATTCCTGCAGGTGTTTTACTTTAATTTTTGAGTAGCCTGATCAGTCATCTGGTCAAGTAGTGTAAAAGAGCGTGTGGCTGGCTGGGTGTGGTGGCTCACCTGTAATCCTAGCACTTTGGGAGGCTGAGGCAGGCAGATTGAGCTCAGGAGTTTGAAAGCAGCCGACCAATGTGGTGAAACCCCAACTCTACTAAAAATACAAAGTTTAGCTGGGTGTGGTGGCATGTGCCTGTAGTCCTAGCTACTCGGGAGACTGAGGCAGGGGAATCGCTTGAACCCGGGAGTTGGAGGTTGCAGTGAGCTGAGATTGAACCACTGCACTCCAGCCTGGGCAACAGAGGGAGACTCTTTCTCAAAAAAGAAAAAAAAAAAGTGGCAAATTCTCTGCTCCTGTCCACTAACAAGACTAATATTTTAAAATAACTTTAAAGTTCTGTTTTGCTTTTTTCCTGTTAAAAAAGGTCAAAGGTTTATGAATTAGGAAGATCTGTGTTTCTGGTAAGCACAGCATGGCAAGACTCATTCTCCTAGCATTTGGCAGTCTTCGTGCCATGTTTTGGGTATCATGGCGCATTTTGGGTATCAAGGCAGGTAACTCGGTATCATAACTTTCAGATTAATAACTGGAAGCATGTTTTCCAGTACGTTTGCATGCAGGGTTTTGTTTCTGAAAATTACTAATTTTGGCCTTATCTCTCGTGAATGGAGGTGCATTGTGATGTATTAACTAGGAGACTGGATTAGTGGGAAGCCTGGAGACTTGGATTCTCAGCTTGTTTTGGTAACTCTAGTAGTTCTGGAAGTTTTAGGTTATTGACTAATGCAAGAAATTCAAGGGCAGTGCATGCATGCTGCGACTTTTGTGGAGCGACAGCCCCACCTTGTGGCTTTTTTTTTCCTCTTGACAGGCATTAGTGGTTAGGTAGAATAAGACCACAGTGCCCTAGCCCAGAATTTGAAAACAGCTCACTGTTGTTTTGAGTCTCAATGCTTTTTTGGATTTTTTTTTTCTTTCTTTTTTGAATTTTAAACTTTTTTTTTTTTATTTTAGACAGGGTCTCACTGTCACGGGCTGGAGTGCAGTGCTGTGATCTCGGCTCATTGCACCTCAGCCTCTGAGGCTTGAGGTGATCCTCCCACCTCAGCCTCCCTAGTAGCTGGGCCTACAGTTAAGCTAATTTTGGTATTTTTTGTAGAGACGGAGTTTCGCCTTGTTGCCCAGGGTGGTCTCGAACTCCTGGCCTCAAGGGATCCTCCCACCTTGGTCTCCCGAGTAGCTGAGACTACAGGCATGCATCACTTTGCTTGGCTAATATTTAAAATTTTTGTAGAGATAGGGTCTTGTTATGTTGCCCAGGCTGGTCTCAAACTCCCGGCCTAAAGTAATCCTGCCTTGGTCTCCCAAGGTGCTGGGATTACGGCCGTGAGCCAGCATGCCTGATGTGAGTCTCATACTTTAAAAACAAAAAGCTACAATAACTCTTTAAATATTAGTATTGCCAATAATTTATCTGTTAATCTTAGAACGATTTTCCCAAAGTGCTGTATAAGAGAGATGGTGACAAGTTTAGCAGTAACTAGATTTGTCACTTTTATGGCACTTATGTAAAAGGAAACGTTAGTTTTACATTGTTTACTTTGTGGTTTTGGGTGCCCATAAAGGTCACCTCACTGAATTGGTTATAAAGAGGAAGCATAGAAATTCAATACAAATTTAAAATGATTGTTGGGGGAATGACTTAATAATGGCAAGGGTAACTAAGCTTGTTTAAAGTTATTTTAAAAAGCTATTCAAGAAGAGTATATTGGAGGTCATAACCACACAGTATAGTAAAATAAAAAAGTAGTTGTCCAGTGTTATATTAGTAGAAACTTAGACCTTAGGATAACGTTTCCAGGGCCACCCTAGAGGAATTTATAAAGAACTTTCATTTTCAACAACTTAGATGGAGGTACATAGAGGTTTTACAACATTCTGTTTAATGTGGACACTGAAATGATCATAGTCGACATTGTAAGCATTTGAGATGGGTAACCTTGTCTAATTTTCACAGTGATCCAGTGAGGTAGGGATTATTGTTATCCCACTTCTACAGATGAGAAAACTGTGCTGGGGTCACAGGTCAGGTGGGCAGCAGAGCTGGAGCTGAACTCAGGCAGTCTGATATGTGTGCTCAGACTACAGGCTGTGCTGCCAGTAGTGCTTGTAGTGCTTGTAGTGCTGTGCCACTTAGTGGTGAGAAGGGCTGCTGTGGTCTAGAAACTGGATTTTAATACTGGATCTGCCATTTATAGCTGTGTGACCTTGAGAAGGTCACATCACGTTTTCAGTTTCAGGTACTTTAGAACTAAATGGGAAACTTTATTTAAAATCGCACATAATATTTGTTAAACAAATGGCTATTAACAATTATAGTAATTGCCCCCCCCCTCCCCCAGACGGAGTTTCACTCTTGTTACCCAGGCTGGAGAGCAATGGTGTGACCTCGGTTCACCGCAACCTCCGCCTCCTGGGTTCAGGCAATTCTCCTGCCTCAGCCTCCTGAGTAGCTGGGATTACAGGCACGCGCCACCATGCCCAGCTAATTTTTTTGTGTTTTTAGTAGAGACGGGGTTTCACCATGTTGACCGGGATGATCTCGATCTCTTGACCTCGTGATCCACCCACCTCGGCCTCCCAAACTGCTGGGATTATAGGCGTGAGCCACCGTGCCCGGCCCTATTACAGTAATTGTAACGACTTTTTCAGTGGGAAAGAGAAGCTGCACAAAATTACATTTACTTTTAAGTAGATTTTTTTTCTGCCTTATAATTGTGTGTATGTGAGAGAGAGAGAGAGAGAGAGAGGATTCATTTTCATATTTTTTATAGACTTGTGTGATGAAGTTAGAGGATGTTTTATGTTAGATGCTATGGAGGGCATGGAAGACCACAGTGTTCATCCTTTGGTAGAGAGGCCAGGCCAGTAATCCTAGGACAGGTTGTGGAAAATTGGGGGAATTGTGGTTGGATTCCAGGGGTTGGCAGTTGGAATGATGGCAAAGACCAGGTTCAGTGCAAGTGTAGGAGTGGGACCCATTCTAGGCAGAGAGATTTCTGTGTTAAGATTTTAGAAATAGCCAGGAGTGGTGACTCACACCTGTAATCCCAGCACTTTGGGAGGCCGAGGTGGGGGTGGATCATCTGAGGTCAGGAGTTTGAGACCAGCCTGGCTAACATGGTGAAACCCCGTTTCTACCAAAAATATAAAAAATTAGCCAGGCATGGTGGTGCACGCCTGAAGTGCTTGTAATCCCAGCTACTCAGGAGGCTAAGACAGGAGAATTGCTTGATCCTGGGAGGCAGAGGTTGCAGTGAGCCGAGATCACACCATTGCACTCCAGCTTGGGCAACAAGAGCGAAACTCTGTCTCAAAACAACAACAACAAAAAAAAAGATTTTAGAAATAAGCAGTGATAAAGGCTGAAAGGGTAGAAACATGTATGGCATGGAGTGGAGATGTCAGAAGGGCTAGTGGATTACAAAAAATTTGCTAGGTCAGGCAAGGAGGTAAAGGATGATGTCCTAGGAAACTGGAATATCAGGAGATTTGTCCTCGAATCCAGTAACTCCCCAAGTGTTCCTTAACTGATGGTGCTGACTTGGCGGAAGTAGGGCCTCATTGGTTAGGGACAGGAGGAAAGAGGCAGACTGGGGACCGTGGGTGGGACCGCTTCAGCATTCTAAAAGGCAGTACCTTCTGGTGCGCTGTCTCAGAGGGAACATAATTTTACTCTTTAAAAACCATTAGAGAGTATACATTAATGAACTTTCTGGTCATGCCAGAGTCCTTGGCTGGAACAGAAACCTCAAGAAGGGAAAACGTTCACTTGTAATGATTACCTTATGATTGATTGACTTACGTCAGTAGATAATTGAGTAGGAATTTATATACACATTCTATACTGCTGTTAATGTTTGGTACAGTGCTTTCTTTAGTGGTTTCACTTTGAGGAGTTGTTAGATTCAGCATTTTCTGGAGCAGAATGCTTTTTTTTTCATTAATTTTTTTGTATAGAGCAGAATGCTTTTTAAAGGGGATTTTGTCTTTTTGGGGAATAATTTATAAAGGTTAATTCAGAAAAAACAATTTAGATATGTGTAGCTCTTACAAACTTTTACATTGACACTGACGTTCTTTTGTATAGGAGTTAAAGTTCCCCGTAATTTTCGCTTGTTGGAAGAACTTGAAGAAGGACAAAAAGGAGTAGGCGATGGTACGGTTAGCTGGGGCCTTGAAGATGATGAAGATATGACACTTACAAGGTGGACAGGCATGATTATTGGGCCACCAAGGGTCAGTGCTATAAATTATATTTTTTCTATTAATATTTATTGTTACTTTAGAGTAAGTATTTAATTTTATACTGTCGATATTAAACAATTATGATAACTTCTAAAATAGTTCTTTATTTTGTTTACATTTATTGATGCCTTTTATGTGCAGGGTGTAATGCTTGATTTCCTAGAGGATTGGGGGGAGGAAGGTTGATATGGTCATTGTCATCAAAGTTTTGCAGTTTAGTAAAGGAGAAAAATCAGTGTAAATGACGGCTTCTAAATATGAAAGAGCAAGTTCACTACGGGACTTTAGAATATGTTTCTTCTAGCTGGAATAATTGAGGAAGGCTGAACAGTGGAGGAAGTTGCCTTTGGAATGAGCCCTAAAGGACTGACTGGTAGGATTTCAGAAGGTGGTGATGGGGATGGAGAACATTCCAGATAGAGAGGAGAAAAGGTGAGGAAATGGAGGGGGTTTGGGGGAGAGCAGTCATTTTGATGTAACATGTTACTAACCTCTCGTGTGTAACTGAGGTTTCTGAATGGGTTTGCATTGAGTGCACGTTGCTATTTGCCCTCTGACACTCCACATGCAGTAGTAATGCTGTAGGCCTCAGTTCCTTCATCGATAAGAAGTCTGTGATTCTTACATTTTTTTTCTAGTGTGGTTGGCAACTGGCCCATTGTACTTTGTCCTTAGGTCCTTCTTGGGTTTACGAAGTTTTATTTTTACTCAAAATCTTTTTTTCTAGCTTGGGATTTTTTTTTTTTTTACACTGAATTCCTTACATAATGGTCCCATCCACTGCACTCGCTGCAGTGAGTCTTTGAAATGTATATTCTGTAATGTTTTTGGCTTGTTGGAAAGAGCATACATTTGAAGAGTTAAGTCTTTGGTTTTGCATACTGGTTGCTACCTTATGATGAGAGCATTTCAGCTGTTTTGCTCTTGGGTAGAATTCAGAGTTCCTCCTGATTGTTATTATTTATTATTATTTTTGAGACAGTGTCTTGTTCATTCACCCCGGCTGGAGTGCAGTGGTGCGATCTTGGCTCACTGCAGCCTCAGCCTCCTGGGCTCAAGCGATTCTTCCACTTTAGCCTCCTAAGGAGCTGGGACTACAGGTGTGTGTCCCCACTTCTGGCTAATATTTGTAGTTTTTGTAGAGATGGGGTTTTACCATGTAGCCAGGCTGGTCTTGAACTCTTGGCCTCAAATGATCCACCTGCCTTGGCTTCCCAAAATGCTGGGATTATAGGTGTGAACCACTGTACTCAGCCCCTTTTGATTATTATAAAAGAAAAATGTATTAGGTAATTAGCAACATTAATGGTAGAGAATGAATTAGTGTGTGTGTTACGTTGTTTTCTGGTGTTCCTTTGAAAAATTCATGCACACTCTCAAACTGATAGGCTTCCTGTTTCCTCCCTTGCTCTGTTTTTTCCTAAAGACATTTGAGGGAGGAAATATAATATTGATAAATAGAATTCCTTATAACTTGGTGAGTATAATGAAAGCCTTGAGTTTCACTGCCTGTGAACATGATTAACATGATTTGTTTGGTTGAAAAAGTGCTTATAATTGATGAACATTCTGACTTACTGATTGGAAGATTTAGTCAGAACTTGGTGGAATATAAATTTGAAATTATTTAGATTTGTTTTTTCTCCAGCCACTGCCTGCAGCAGACTTTATTTTTGAGACAGAGACTTATTATTATTATTATTTTTTGAGACAGAGAATTGCTCTATCACCCAGGCTGGAGTGCAGTGGCTCATTCTTGGCTTACTGCAACCTCTGCCACCTGGGGTTCAAGTGATTCTCCTGCCTCAGCCTCCCGAGTACCTGGGATTACAGGCACCTGCCATCATGCCCAACTAATTTTTTGTATTTTCAGTAGAGACAGGTTTCACCATGTTGGCCAGTCTGCTCTTGAACTCCTGACCTCATGATCCACCTGCCTCGGCCTCCCAAAGTGCTGGGATTATAGGTGTGAGCCATCACACCTGGACTGCAGACCTTATTCTTTATGAATGTTTTGGAGTTTGTGATGAGTTCATCAGTGGTCTTGTGGGCTGACCCATAACACAGTTCCCAGCTGTGGTGGACTGGCTTCTGCTTGGTCTTTCACCTGATTGAGTTCCCCACCAGGTTGCCCCAACTAGTTGCCATTACTGGTGTCACTAAACCTCAGGAAACTCCATCCACTGGGGTGGGGTGAAGGCTGCTGCTCTGCAACCCTTCTTGCTCCAGGGGCACAGGGCACACAGGCAAGATGCTACTGTGGTTCTCTATTCTCTATGGGGAGTGGTTTGGATGCTGCAGGGGAAAAAAGGTAATAATAACTTTTCCTCACCTGTCTCAAGCTTCATGACTGAGACACTTATAATAAAAGGCAGAGAAAAGCATACAAACTTATTTAAGTTTTACATAACATGGGAACATTCAGAAAAGAAGACCCAAGGATAAAGGGAACGTATTTTTTTTTTTTTGAGATGGAATTTTGATCTTGTTACCCAGGCTGTAGTGCAATGGCGTGATCTCGGCTCACCACAACCTCTACCTCCCATGTTCAAGCGATTTTCCTGCCTCATCCTCCCAAGTAGCTGGGTTTACAGGCATGCACTACCACACCCGGCTAATTTTTTGTATTTTTAGTAGAAACAGTGTTTCTCCATGTTGGTCAGGCTGGTCTTGAGTTCCCAACCTCAAGTGACCTGCCTGCCTCAGCCTCCCAAAGTGCTGGGATACAGGCATGAGCCACTGCGCCTGGCCATGAAACCTGTTTTTAATGCTAATTTTGATGAAGAATGGATGGTGGTGCAACCGTGTGATTGGTCTGATGGTAACATACTAGGTAATAGACTCGGGGCGCTTACCAAGGCCTGTTGTTCAGATTCTTCCTGTGTCTTTGCATTTTATTCCTTTTTTGACATAAGACAAGACCCCTTTGGAGTAGTTCTCATGACTTACTTCATGGAGAGGTCAGCTAGATTTTAGGGTCTGCTTCAGGGGAGAAAGGGGCAAAGGTAAGGTAAAAGTAAGCTTGCTTCTGCTGTTTTCTCAAGTGCCAAGGTGCCGTATTTTGGGATAGTATGTCCTGAACCTCATCAGAGACCCCCCCCCCTTACTTCCTTTTAGTGCCAGGCAGAGGTGTGAGGGTGTGCCCTGCAAAGGCACAGGCTTCTTCTGGAGCTGGCCTCTGCTTACCACCTGATGATCTTCTTTGCATCACCCTCTCTCCGGTTCTCTCGAAGGCAGGAGATCATGGTGGGCATATTCAGTTGCCTTTTCATAAAATAGGCAGGAATTGGTGTCTTACCACAGTTGTTTTCTCTTTAGAAGGTATGATGTTGAAAGCAGTTTTGTCTCCAGGGTAGACTATCTAGCCAGGAGAGGAAGAAGACTTCACATGGTTGGTTATTTTTTAATTTTTATTTTGTTATTTATTTATTTATTTTGAGTCGGAGTTTTGCTCTTGTTACCCAGGCTGGAGTGCAATGGTGCGATCTCGGCTCACCGCAACCTCCGCCTCCTGGGTTCAGGCAATTCTCCTTCCTCAGCTTCCCGAGTAGCTGGGATTACAGGCACGCGCCACCATGTCCAGCTAATTTTTTGTATTTTTAGTAGAGACGGGGTTTCACCACGTTGACCAGGATGGTCTCGATCTCTTGACCTCGTGATCCACCCGCCTCAGCCTCCCAAAGTGCTGGGATTACAGGCGTGAGCCACCGCGCCCAGCTATTTTGTTATTATTTTGAGATAGTTTCACTCTGTCACCCAGGTTGGAGTGTAGTGGCACAATCACAGCTCACAGCCTGGACCCCTGGGCTCAAGCAATCCTCCCACCTCAGCCTTCTGAGTAGCTGGGACTGTAGGGTTGCACCACCACACCTGGCTAATTTTTGTGTGAGTGTAGAGACAGGAGTCTCACTATGTTGCCCAGACTGGTCTGAAACTCCTGGGCTTAAATGACCCTCCTGCCTTGGCCTCCGAAACTGCTGGGATTATAGATGTGAACCACTGTGCCTGGCCAGTTGTTGTTTATTTTTTATACTCTGTTGACCAAGATCCCTGGTTTTTATGTTGTTCAGGTACTTCTTTGGATTTATATGATTAGCAGTTTTGTTTTTCTATGTTTTCGTGTTTAGTTTTCTGAAGCAATATTTGTTGTCACTAGTTTAGTACTTTTTAAGTTTTCTCATATGCAAATGAAGGGTACTGTCCCCATCTTTAAAATAGAAACAGTGAGAGAGAGTTAAGTGAAATAATGATTAGATAATAGGAGAGTAGCTGACTACCTGGCTTAGTAAATATTAGTTTGTTTTTCTCCTTTTTTTTTTTTTTTTTGAGACAGTCTCGCTCTGTTGTTAGATGACAGGCTGGAGTGCAGTGGTGCGATCTTGGCTCACTGCAACCTCCGTCTCTCGGGTTCAAGCGATTCTCCTGCCTCAGCCTCCGAGTAGCTGGGATTACAGGCACACTACCATGCCCTGCTAATTGTTGTATTTTTAGTGGAGATGGGGTTTCATTATGTTGGCTAGGCTGACCTCTCAAACTCCTGACCTCGGGCAGTCTGTCCTCTAAGTACTAGGATTACAGGTGTGAGCCACGACACTTGGCCTGTTAATCTCAAATTTCGAGGTACTAAAATTAATCAAAGGTTTCAGAAGTTAGGGTGATATTTACTGTAGTCATTGGATTAGATTACTAGGTTAGCTTTGGGATTAAGTTTTTTTTTTCTTTACGTAAACTCTTTCAGGAAAGAGCTTTGGTTTTTTTTTTTTTTTTTAAAGAAATTGAGGTAGAATTTACATGTAGTGAAATGCGCAGATGTGCCATGAGTTTGCCATGAGGTAGCTTGTTACCTTACCCCATACTGAGATACAGAACATTCCTGGCATTCCAGAAACCCGCCTGTGTCCTTTCCCACTCCCACCCCTGCTTCCTGCACCTGAGAGATTTGCAAGTTGTAGAGCTTTGGTAAGTAGAGTCATACAGTGTGTATACTCATGGTTCTCATCTTTACTCAGCATAAAGTCTGCGCAATTCACTTCTGTTATCTCAGGTAGTAGTAATGTGTTTCTTTTTATTGTTGAATAGTATTTTACTGTATGAACATACCACAATATGTTTACCAATTTTTTTATGAACATTTGGACTTAATCTACTTTCTTGCTGTTACAAATAAAGCTGCTCTGGGCATTCTTGTAGAAGTCTTTTTGTGAACATGTTTGTTTCAATTTCGCTTGGGTAAATGCCAAGGAATAGAATTGCTGTATCATAGGGGAGTCTGATATGCATCCAGATTGGGGAACCACAGCCAAGATAATCTTGAGATACATCTGATTTTAGTCATTTTTGTAGATTGAAAGTGTTGGGCATATTACTATTTGCTTGCTATTAATCTCAGATGAGTTTAATACAGCTCTTTTTTCCCTTAAAGCATTGAAATATTTAATAACATACATATAAGATTGTTGCACAGCTTTTATATTCGGGTCGTTTAATACTGTAAATGTGACCTCCATTTGGATAGCTCTTTGAAGGGGGCGGGACCGTTTGAGTAGGTGAGATCTACAGATGGTTGATTAGCTTCCTGCCTCTCTGGTCTTACACAGCAGCCAGCAGGTATTAAATTTGTCACTTTCATTTATTTATGTATTTATTTTTATATTATTTTAATTATAATTTAGAAAATGTATTAACATTTCGATAATTATAATTATCTGAAACATTGTTTTTTCTTTTTAATTTCCTGAGTCCAGGTGAGAATTCATTTATTTTTTACTTTGCTGTTTTTTTTGAGTCGGAGTCTCACTCTGTTGCCAGGCTGAGTGGGACATCTGAGATGATTGCCAGTGCAGTGGCATCATCTCAGCTTACTGCAGCCTCCGCCTCCTGAGTTCAAGCGATTCTCCTGCCTCCCGAGTAGCTGGGACTGCAGGTACACGCCACCACACCCAGCTAATTTTTGTATTTTTAGTAGAGACAGGGTTTTACCATATTGGCCAGGACAGTCTCGATCTCTTAACCTCATGATCCACCCACCTTGGCCTCCTAAAGTGCTGGTATTACAGGCGTGAGCCACCATGCTGGCCTACTTTACTGTTTTAATGGTACACTAATAAGTTAACCACGTGAACAAAAGCCGTAGGAGAAAGAAGAGTTAATTTATAGGCGTGAAAATAAGCCTTGGATAATCTAGAAGCTTTAAGTATGACAGCTTTAAAATGGCTGTGTTTATGTTAATCAAACTTCATGCTTCAGAAACCCTATTTGAAAATGATGTATAAACATGAAGTTTGCTATTATATCTCTGAATTAAGATAATGGGATTTAATGAATCTCAAAATTAATGAAGCAGTAACGTAAGTATAACTAATAGGAGACATAAAATAATTATGTTTTATTGTTACAAAATGGTATAATATGGTGTTTTCCCTTTTGTTAGAAGTTATGATTGTCATATTAAGTAGGGTAATCATATAATTTGTTATCCAACAAGACCCTTTTGAGAATGAAAAGAGGCACTGCTATTAGTTAATTCTGGGACAATAGGAATAAGCAGAGCTGTTCTGGAAAACAGAAACCCTTATATATGTTGGATACAAGTCTCAAGTAGCCCCTCCTTCTACAAGTAAACTTTTAAGCAAAATCTAAATTTAAGTGGTTTTCTTTTTTTTCTTTCTAATTTGTTTACAGGCATCATTTTTATCATAAAAGCAAGTTGTGATCATACTGATAATACTTTGTGGAATTAATTTTGTAAAATCTCAATTTTTAAGTATGCCTACTGTGTTTTTTTCTCACCATATAGGTCAAATAAATTTGAATGTAGAAAAGTAAATTCTTAATCATAAGCACTGTCTTATCAAGTATATTCATATTGTACTTTTCCTTTTCTTAGCACTTAGACATTAATATTTTAGATATTGTTATTTTGATTGTCTTTTTGTTTTATTGCCTTTCAGACAAATTATGAAAACAGAATATATAGCCTGAAAGTAGAATGTGGACCTAAATACCCTGAAGCTCCTCCGTCAGTTAGATTTGTAACAAAAATTAATATGAATGGAGTAAATAATTCCAGTGGGATGGTAAGTTAATATAGTCATTTTGTTTTTCTAGAACATAATATAAAGAGTTATATATAATTGTACACACATAATATATTTAAGATATGAATATGTAGTCAGGAAAATATTTTTAAATGAGGAACTTAGTTAAGTCAAAAGTTTAAGGAAGGTTGCATTATGTTATTTTTCTTTTATTAATATAAATTAGGCCATCCTTAAAAACCTTAATGTACATGCCTAGAATAGATGTATGTGGTGGTTAGAACTTTTTTTTTTTTTTTTGCTACGAAGTCTTATTCTGTTGCCCAGGCTGAACTGTAATGGTGTGATCTCAGCTCACTGCAAACTCCAGCTCCCAACTTCAAGTGATTCTTCTACCTCAGCCTCCCAAGTACCTGGGATAACAGGCGCCCACCATCATGCCTGGCTGATTTTTGTATTTTTGTAGAGATTGGGTTTCACAGTGTTGGCCAGGCTGGTCTTGAACTCCTGACCTCAGGTGATCCTCCCGCCTGGGCCTCCCGAAGTGCTGGGATTACAGGTGTGGGCCACTATGCTTGGCCAAAACTTTTCGTAGGGTTTTAATTGTCTCAGTAGTCATATTCAGTTGATCCTTATTTGGTAAAAATATGACCATTATTGGGCTGGGCACGGTGGCTCATGCTTGTAATCCCAGCACTTTGGGAGGCTGAGGCAAGTGGATCATGAGGTCAGGAGTTTGAGACCCGTCTGGCCAACATAGTGAAACTTCGACTCTACTAAAAGTACAAAAATGAGTGGGACGAGGTGGCAGGTGCCTGTAATCCCAGCTACTCCAGAGGCTGAGGCAGGAGCATCACTTGAAATGGGAAGGTGGAGGTTACAGTGATCCAAGATCGTGCCACTGCACTCCAACCTGGGGAAAGAGCAAAACTCCATCTCAAAAGAAAAAAACCCATTATTTCTCTTTGAATGTTACTTTTCTTAGGATTAAGGTAAATTTGGTGAGATGAAAAGGATGAATATTTATGAAGGATTTTTTTCTTTGAGAAACAGGTATATCTGTGTTGAAACAGTCATGGCTGAGCATCGTTATCTATTTATTTTTGGGTTTCACTCTGTCCCCCAGGCCAGAGTGCAGTGACTCTTCCCTCCTTTCCCTGGCCTAAAGTGATTCTCCCACCTCAGCCTCCTGAGTAGGTGAGACTACAGGGCACATGCCACCAAGCCTGGCTAATTTTTGTATTTTTTGGTAGAGATGGGGTTTCGCCATGTTGGCCAGGCTGGTCTCAAACTCCTGACCTCAAGTGATCCACCTGCCTTGGCCTCCCAAAGTGCTGAGACTACAGGCGTGAGCCACTGTGTCCAGCCCATTGTCTCTTTAAACAAAATGACATGCCCTGCTTGATGCACATAAGTTAGTTGGTAGAAACAGCTGAATTTCCAGTATGAGTAGATTGTTAGGTTCATGATAAGACTTTGAAGCCCAGGCTCTCTTGGTGCCATGTTGAGAGCACACCACACACAAAATACCGTTTAGGAGGTGAAATAACATATCATCATCATAAAATGAGTATCATCCATCTTAGGAAGTAAGACCTCAGTATTTCTTGATTGCTCATCTTACCCTGGTGTTCCCTCTGTCTACTAACCTGTTTTGTACCACAGATGTTTCACATCTGTACACAAATTCATCCCCCTTTCCTCTCTTTCTCTCTTTCCTTCCCATCTATTTACCATCTGTTAAAAACCACAAGTTTATATTAACAACTCCTGCTAACTTTATTCTAAAACTATAGGGTTTATTCTATGATTCTTCCTTTCCATATCTGTAATTCTCTCTTCTAACACTTGAGAAACTGGCTTCCATGATTCCCAATGCATTTACTTATTTCTCAGTTTCCTCTGCATGTAACTGTACTTCTGGCAACAATTTGACTCCTGGATCCAAAGCTTGCTCCCCGCCCCTCAACCCCGGCCTAATAGGTAGGTCTGAGGCGGGGCCCCAGATTGGCTAGTGCATCCAGCAGGGAGGAACCAGGCCAAATAAAGCATAACCCTGAGAAAGGAAGAAGGTGGGAAAGGTCATTGGAAACCTCAGCCCTGCACCTTCTGGGCCATCAGCACTCCCACACGCCTCCCAACCCCCGGCCCCTTGCCAGCTCAGAGCTGGGACTTGAGATTCTCTCCAGCCCTCAGTTTGTTAGTCTTTATGATTTGCTGGGAGCATGTAGTCCATTTACATTTAATATCCATAATTACTGACACGTTCAGGTTTAAATAGGTCATCTTAGTTGGTGGTTTCTATTTTTCTAGGTGTTTCTTACCTACTGTTGGAATGGTTGTTCTCAACTTCTTTCATTCAGTTTGTGTTCTTTCAGTGCTTATTCTAGAAAGTAAGTACACATCTATTTTTAAGAAGTTTGATGAAAGCAGGATTATACAGCAAATGACTGTACAGAAAGGATATTATTTAGGGAATTTCCTGTGTGACATAGCATTGCCTCTATGAAGAAGACCTTTGTTAGATTTTGCTACTAGATGTATCTGTTTTTCTTCATTACTAGTTTGTTTTTACATTATAGCTTCTGTAAATTAAGTAACTAATGGTGTGTTCTACATTGCCATGGGAGCTAGGAAATTCGGATTAAATTTCAGACCTATCTCTAATAAGCTTATCTGATCTCTTGAGCTCTGGTCCATAAGCTTATATTTTGCCTCCCTCTTTACCTCCCCTCCCCCAACCCATCTATCACTAAGCCTCATCAGTTTTATGTTCCAAGTGTAACTTGATTTCGGTCTTATTTTTCTATGTGCATTGCCATCAGGTGAATATTGGCCATCATTTGTGGTCTGGACTCTTGCAACAACGTCTCTGGTCTACTTTTTAAAATCCCTTCTAATCCTTCCAAAGCCAGCAGCCAGAGGGATCCTTCTATTAGACGGATCGTGTCATGTCATTTCTGCACTTCAAACTCCTTTAGGGACAGCCTCAGTGTGCGTGCTTCTTGCCATTGGTCACTAGGAGCACTCAAGGTGCACACTGGCTTGCATGCCTTTGTTTGGCCGCAAGACCTTTGCACTTCTCTTCCTCCTTTCTCTCCAGTCTGGCTAATTCCTGTGGGTCCTTCACTTCTCCCTGCAGATTCCACTTTCCTTTTTATTGAGACAGAGTCTCACCCAGTCATTCAGGCTGGAGTGCAGTGGCAGGATCTTGGCTCACTACAATCTCCATCTCTTGGGTTTAAGTGATTCTCCTGCCTCAGCCTCCCAAGTAGCTGGGACTACAGGTGTGTGCCACCACACCTGGCTAAATAGAGAATGATAGAACCAATATCTATGTGTCCTCCTCCTGGCTTTGTCAAATCTTAACATTTGTCTTATTTGTAACAGAATTTTTTCTTATTAGGACAAAGACTACATTATAAGTAGAGTTAATTCTGTGTGTGGCTTTTTTTTTTTTTTTTTTTTTTTTTTTGAGACAGTTTCACTCTTGTTGACCAAGCTGGAGTGCAATGGTAGGATCTCAGCTCACTGCAACCTCTGCCTCCCAGGTTCAAACGATTCTCCTGCCTCAGCTTCTCTGGGATTACAGGTGTCCACCACCATGCCTGGCTAATTTTTGTATTTTTAGTAGAGACAGGGTTTCACCACGTTGGCCAGGCTGGTCTCGAACTCCTGAGCTCAGCCTCCCAAAATGCTGGGATTTCAGGCATGAGCCATTGCACCCAGCCAAGTTTAAAATTTTTAAATTAAAATGTTCTCCATCAAATTTCTGTAAAACTTTCTAAATTGTTACTCCCATTGCAATGTTTATCTTGTCAAGGATCAATAGAATTCTGTTCGTGGCCTGCCCCATTCCATGGACGTACCTTGAGTAGGGCTGCTCTCAGGAATGCCTCTAGAAGTGTGCTGTGGCATGGGGCCTTGAATATTGCCAGGCTGTTCTCCTCAGGGCTGGGTCAATGTCAGCCCCACCAGTGGTGTATAACAGAACCCTCTGAATGTATATTCCCATCAACCCTTCTTACTGTCAACCTGGAATGGGGACTAGGAAATAGAAAAATTAAGTACTGATTTTAATCATTATTGGAGTGTAGTTGTGTGTATAGAGGGTTGTGGGTAGGGTGCATATATTGGACATCTGTTTTTCTCTTCATTTACATCTGAGAGTTTGGATTATTACTTTTATAACTAGTAAATGGTGTAGAATTTCACACTGATTATTGTGCCAGGATAGTTTTATATATTTTGAGGCTGTAAGTATCTCATGAATTGTAGTTCACAGGCAGTGATAGTGGGTGTCACTTTAGTAATTTGGGTTTATATTTATTTAATACAACAAGGCAAAATTATTCCTTGTGGGTGGTTAGGACTCCGAAGTCTAAATTTCATTGTTTTATGCAGTGAGATCTCATATCTCATTGCATATTGTTTTTGGAGGTCATTGTATATTGTAGACTGATAAGATGCAGATTTTGTTCTGACATGGTATTTATTTTCCCATGCTCTTTACTGCCTTCTCTCCCTTCATCTTGTATGGTTTTCTTTTTTTTGCACCCTGTTGGTATTTCACAGGATTTACAATCACTTATATTTATTTAACTACCATTTACAGCTGTGTTTGTTTCTGCTTTGGAAATAGCATGGTATTCTCTCTACCTATTTTTATAAACTGTTCAGTTATGGAGTCTATTTAAAATAGGCTAAGGAGGTTGCCACTCTTTTTTTTTTTTTTTTTTTGAGACGGAGTTTCACTCTTGTTACCCAGGCTGGAGTGCAATGGAGTGATCTCGGCTCACCGCAACCTCCGCCTCCTGGGTTCAGGCAATGCTCCTCCTCAGCCTCCTGAGTAGCTGGGATTACAGGCATGCGCCACCACGCCCAGCTCATTTTTTGTATTTTTAGTAGAGATGGGGTTTCACCATGTTGACCAGGATGGTCTCGATCTCTTAACCTCGTGATCCGCCCGCCTTGGCCTCCCAAAGTGCTGGGATTACAGGTGTGAGCCACCACGCCTGGCCAGAGGTTGCCACTCTTTAAAGTGAAATCGTTAGGGGAAGCATTTTATTATATTTTATTTTATTATTATTTTTTGAGATGGAGTTTCACTGTTGTTACCCAGACTGGAGTGCAATGGCATGATCTCAGCTCACTGCAACCTCCGCTTCCTGGGTTCAAGCAATTCTCCTGCCTCAGCCTCCCGAGTAGCTGGGACTACAGGTGCACACCACCATTCCCAGCTAATTTTTGTATTTTTAGTAGAGACGGGGTTTCACCTTGTTGACCAGGATGGTATTGATCTCTTAAGCTAGTGATCCACCCGCCTCGGCCTCCCAAAGTGCTGGGATTATACACGTGAGCCACTGCGCCCGGCCAGAGGAAGCATTTTAAATGTACCTTACCATTGTAACATTTTTCTTATTTTTTTGGTTAGTTTCTTGGTTTCTCTTTTTTTTTTGAGACAGAGTTTTGCTCTTGTTACCTAGCCTGGAGTACAGTGGCGTGATCTCTGCTCACTGCAACCTGCGCCTCCTGGGTTCAAGTGATTTTCCTGCTTTAGCCTCCCTAGTAGCTGGGATTACAGGCACCCGCCACGACACCCAGCTAATTTTTTCTATTTTTAGTAGAGATGGGGTTTCACTGTGTTGGCCAGGCTGGTCTTGAACTCCTGACCTCAGGCGATCCACCCACCTCAGCCTCCCACAGTGCTGGGATTACAGTGTGTGGTACCGCACCTGACATTAGTTTCTAAGATAAGTATCACTCTAAAATTATTTTTCTTTTCTGCTTGTAAACACTTTTATGGTGATATAATTCATATACCATGCAATTCACCCATTTAAAGTGTACAATACAGTGGTTTTTGTTTTGTTTTGTTTTTGAGACAGAGTCTTGCTCTGTTGCCCAGGCTGGAGTGCACTGGCACGATCTCAGCTCACTGTACCCTCCGCCTCCCATGTTCAAGTGATTCTCCTGCCTCAGCCTCCCGAGTGGCTGGGACTACAGGCATGTGCCACCATACCTGGCTAATGTTTTCTGTTTTTAGTAGAGATGGGGTTTCAACGTGTTAGCCAGGATGGTCTCGATCTCCTGATCTCGTGATTCGCCTGCCTTGGCCTCCTAAAGTGCTGGATGACAGGTTTGAGCCACCATGCCCGGCCCAGTGGTTTTAGTATTCACAACATTGTAAAATCACTGCCATGACCCAGTTGTGGAACATTTTTTTCTTCCTAAAGCAAATCTGTGCCCATTAGTTATCATTTCCCATCCCCCCTCCCTCACCCCTGAACAACCGATAATCCACCTTTTGTCTTTATAGATTGCTCGTTCTGGATGTTATATAAGTAGAACAATATCATGTGCGCTCTTTTGTGACTTAATGTAATGTTTTTAAGATTTATTCATGTTTGTAGTGTGTATTGGCACTTCATTCCTTTTTATTGTTGAATTATATTCCATTGTATGGATATCCCATTTTATCCATTCATCACCTGGTGGATATGTATATTTTTCTACTTTTGGTTATTATGAATATTGTTGCTGTGAATATTTGTGTACAAGTTTTTGAGTGGGCAAATATTTTCATGTCTTTGGTATATAATTTTAGGAGTGGAATTGTTGGGTCATATGGTAACTCTATGTTTTGCTTTTTGAGGAACTGTCAAGACAGTTTTCCAAAGTGAATATGCCATTTTACATTGCTACCAGCAGTATATGCGCCACCATACCTGGCTCATTTTTTGTATTTTTAGTAGAGATGAGGTTTCACCATGTTGGCCAGGCTGGTCTTGAATTCCTAGCCTCAAGTTGATCTGCCCACCTTGACTTCCCAAAGTGCTGGGGTTACAGGTGTGAACTACCGCACCTGGCCTGTAGTATTTTGAAATCATTAATTTTGTTCTTCTTTTTTTAGCATTTTTTTTGGCCATTTTGGGTTTCTTGCGTTCACATACAAATTTTAGAATAAGCCTGTTTATTTCTGCAAGAAAGAAGAAAGCAGTTGAAATTTTAATAGGAGTTATACTGAATCTAAGTTAACTTGAATATTGTCATCTTTACAGTAGGAAGTCTTCTGACCCATGTACATTTGTTTACGTCTTTAATTTCTGTCAACTATATTTCACAGTTTTCTTTTAATTATTTTATTTATTTATTTTATTTTATTTTTAGATGGAGTCTAGCTCTGACACCCAGGCTGGAGTGTATTGGTGTGATCTCAGCTCACTGCAACCTCTGTCTCCCGGGCTCAAGCAATTCTGCCTCAGCCTCCCCAAGTAGCTGGGATCACAGGCATGCATCACCATGCCCAGCTAATTTTTGTATTTTTAGTAGAGATGGGGTTTTTTCACCATGTTGGCCAGACTGGTCTCAAACTCCCGACCTCAAGTGATCTGCCTGCCTCCCTCTCGCAAAGTGCTGGGATTACAGGCAGGAGCTACTGCACCCGGCCTTTAAATTATTTTTATTTAAAAGTTTTTTTTCTCTTTTTTTCTGGGGGTGGGGGGAGGGAGAGAAAGGGAGTGGTAGGAGGGTGGTAGGAAGGAAGGAGGGGAGCTACTTAACAATTTTCAGTGCACAAGTTTTGCATTTTTAAAATATTTATACCTAGGTATTTTATTAATTTTTATTTCATATTGTTGCAAGTGTAAAGAAAAACTAATTTTTGTATGTGGATCCTGTATCCTGTTGCCTTGACGAACTTGTTGATTAGCTCTAATAATTTCTTTAGTGGATTCCTAAGAATTATCTATATACCAGATTATTTCTTCTGCAAATAGAATTAGTTTTACTTCTTTCTTTTTAATCAAGGTGCCATTTAGCTCACCTTCTTTCTTAATTGTCCTGGCTAGAACCTCCAGTACAATGTTGACTGGAAGGAAGTGATGAGAATGGGGCCAGATGGTGGTGGCTCATGCCTATAATACCAGCACTTTGGGAGGCCGAGGCATGCAGATGCACAGGAGTTTGAGACCAGCCTGGCCAAGATGACAAAACCCTGTCTCTATAAAAAATATAAAAAATTGGCCGTGCACGGCAGCTCATGCCTGTAATTCCAGCACCTGGGGAGGCTGAGGCAGGCAGATCATGAGATCAGGAGTTTGAGACCAGCCTGGCCAACATAGTGAAACCCTGTCTCTACTAAAAATAGAAAAAATTAGCTGGGCGTGGTGGCGGACGCCTATAATCCTAGCTACTTGGGAGGCTGAGGCAGGAGAATTGCTTGAACCTGGGAGTTGGAGGTTGCAGTGAGCCGAAATCGCGCCACTACACACCAGCCCAGGTAACAGTGTGAGAGCCCATCTTAAAAAAAAAAAAAAAAATTAGCCAGGGCTGGGGGTGGTAGCTCACGCCTGTAATCCCAGCACTTTGGGAGGCCGAGGCGGGTATATCACAAGGTCAGGAGATCAACATGGTGAAACCCCGTCTCTACTAAAAAAAAAATTACAAAAAATTAGCTGGGCACGGTGGCGTGTGCCTGTAATCCCAGCTACTCAGGAGGCTGAGGCAGGAGAATTGCCTGAACCCAGGGGGCGGAGGTTGCGGTGAGCCGAGATCGCGCCATTGCACTCCAGCCTGGGTAACAAGAGCTAAACTCCGTCTCAAAAAAGAAAATTAGCCGGGTGTGGTGGCTCACTCCTGTAGTCCCAGCTACTTGGAAGGCTGAGGCAGGGGAATTGCTTGAACCCGGGAGGCGGAGGTTGCAGTGAGCCTCCAGCCTGGTGACAGAGCAAGGCTCCATCTCAAAAAAAAAAAAATTAGCCAGGCCTCTGCTGGAACATACCTGTAGCCCCAGCAACTTGGGAGGCTGAGGTTGGAGGATCACCTGAGCCCAGGGAGGTTGAGGCTGCAGTGAGCCAAATTGTGTCACTGCACCTAGCCTGGGCAATAGACTCAAAAAGAAAAGAAAATATAAAAAGAAGTGATGAGAATAATCACCCTTGTCTTGTTCCTCATCTTGGGTGGAAAGCATTTGGTCTTTATTAAGTATGATGTTAGCTGTAAGTTTTTTGTAGACTCACTCTTAGGTTGAAATAATTCCTTCTGTTCCTAATTTATTGAGTAATTATATCATGAAAGGTTGTTGGATTTTGTCAAATGATTTTTTTGCATCCATTGAGATGATCATGGTTTTGTCCTCTATTCTGTTAATATATTACACTGATTTTTATTTTTTAAAATTTTTATTTATTATTACATTTTTTAGACCGAGTCTCACTCTTGTCACCCAGGCTGGAGTGCAGTGGCGCGATCTCGACTCACTGCAGCCTCTGCCTCCCAGGTTCAAGCAATTCTCCTGTCTCATCCTCCCAAGTAGCTGGGATTACAGGCGTATGCCACCGTGCCTGGCTAATTTTAGTAGAGACAGGGTTTCACTGTCTATGTTGGTCATGCTGGTCTCAAACTCCTAACCTCGTGATCCACCCACCTCAGCCTCCCAAAGTGCGGGGATTACAGGCCTGAGCCACCATGCCCAGCCCATCTTCCTGTTTGACCCAACTTTTTTTGACAAACGCCCAAGGTAGGAGGTAAGTGAAGATAGATGAGCTCTGAGGTCAGATAAAGGAAAGCTCTGTGAGTGGAGTTTTCCGGGGGAACTGCAGGACATGTCAAATGCTGACAAACTGGGAATGGGCTTGGAAGGAGCTCCGTCCGCATTCTGTTGCTCTTTCACAAACGGTTAATTTGGGCCCGGTGCGGTGGCTCACGCCTGTAATCCCAACACTTTGGGAAGCTGAGGCGGGTAGATCACTTGAGCTCAGGAGTTCAAGACCAGCCTGGGCAACATGGCAAAACCCTGTCTGTATGAAAAATACAAAAATTAGCTGGGCGTGGTGGTGGGTGCCTGTAATCCTAGCTACTTGGGAGGCTCAGGGAGGAGAATTGCTTGAACTTGGGAGGTGGAGGTTGCAGTGAGCCAGGATCTTACCACTGCATTCCAGCCTGGGTGACAGAGCAAGAATTTCTCAGAAAACAAAAAACAAAACAAAAATCCCAGTACTTTGGGAGACCGAGGAGAGTGGATCATGAGGTCAAGAGATTGAGACCATTCTGGTCAAGATGGTGAAACCCTGTCTCTATTAATAATACAAAAATTATCTGGGTGTGGGGTGTGCCTGTAGTCCCAGCTACTCAGGAAGCTGAGGCAGGAGAACCTCTTGAACCTAGGAGGCAGAGGTTGCAGTGAGCCAAGATTGTGTCACTGCACTCCAGCCTGGTGACAAAGTGAGACTCTGTCTCAAAAAAGAAAAAAAAGACTTATTTGGAATAGTACATAGAATACACTGGAAATTAAAATGTGAAAGAGTCAGGTTGGTAGCTTTCGTCTAAATCTCAGTGTGAGGTAATTCCCCAGATTTTGGGTAGTGACATTAGAAATGGAGAGGAACCTTTTGACCTTACTCCATGAAGAAGGAATTGGTCTATTTATTTACGAAGTAGTTACTTAATATAACATTTATTTCTGATGGTCAAAGTTCACTATATGTTTTGTATGTTTATATTTTCCCTAAATATTAAGCTAATTATGATAAAGTATACTCATTATGGTATTAGTAATTTCATAGTGTACTTGTGAAAATAGAGGCAAGCTATGAATTTTCCAAATCATTCTTACTAGAATATGCTTAACAAATTGACGCCACTTTCAACTTGCGGGTTAACTGTGCTCTCTCCTCCCCTTTCAGGTGGATGCCCGGAGCATACCAGTGTTAGCAAAATGGCAAAATTCATATAGCATTAAAGTTGTACTTCAAGAGCTAAGACGTCTAATGATGTCCAAAGAAAATATGAAGCTTCCACAGCCACCAGAAGGACAAACGTACAACAATTAATTTTAGTGGATCTCAAACTTGTCTTAAATCAACAACCTTCTACTCATGTTAATGTCTTGATTAAATATCACAATGCAAAATACCCACACATTAAGTAAAAGAATTCCAGCTGGTAAACATGACCTGGACATTTGTAAGAATATATTTAATATATGTACACCCATTATGTTTTCAGGTAACAGGAGGAAAAATGCAGCACAATTTTTTTTTCTCTTGTTAAGACACTGTCATTTAAACATAAACCTGGAGCGCTCGAAATAGAATTCAGGTTTACAAGATGAAAGCGTGTGGAGAAGTGTCAGATGGCAGTGGAAGCATGTGTGTTTCTAAAAAGTAAAAATCTCAAGAAAGAAAACAGGAATGGCATGCTTTATCCATCTTGCTTAGTGAAAGCTGCAGTTGAAATTGTTTAAAACGTAGCAGGTACAATGAATATTGTCACAAATGTGTTAATTTTTGAAGCGGTGTGGGTG